AAGACTGTGAAATAGAAAACATTTTAAAATGTAAACAGGGAGGATTGAAGTTGTTGAGGTTTAGGATTTTACCTCAGGAAATAAACTGCTACAGGGGCTGGATTAAAATAACCAGTGGGCCAGATTAGGCCCCCAAAACGGACTTTGGACATGCCTGAAATAGACCATTGACAAGCACACTCACATAAATGTTGTCATGGTATATCACCCACATCCCTCCAAATCAAGTGTGTAGAACCTTTGGCCATCCAGATCTTGCTGAACTACAACTCCAAAAGATGCAACAAACATAATCAGTGCCCAGGGATTAATGTAGTTGTTGTTCATCCAGATTTGGATGGCAAAAGTCATCCCACACCTGCTTTGAATAATCTGAGACTGAGAACATTCATTTGGGGATGTTAGCATGTACCAAGAATTGGACATTCAGCTATCAGACACATTCAACATGTTGCATGAACCTGATGTGGTGAATTCTATTTAATTAATACATTTGCAAGTAATGCTCATGAACATGAGGAATGCCAGAACATAAGTGGAAAAGAGTGTGCCTTTCGCCAGTTCTTGCCACCATTTTTAGTGCTGGCCAACCCACAGGTACAGAAGGAAGGATCTAGTGGGAGAACTGTGGCCAGTGATTGCTGCCATGAAGCCAACTGCATTGTCCATCTTTGTCTGACTGCATAGGACTATTTGTTCTTTCTCCAAGGCTTCACACAAAATGCATTGTGAGCCAAGAAGTAATTTAAGTAAACCTGAGTTGCTACTTTGGGGAGTCTCAGTTCATTTTTGTAATGTTGTACATCTGTTCAATTGTTTTCCTCAATCCCCACCTTTGCTTTATCAAACCTTTGCTCATCTGATTACACACAATTAAATTACTTTGGCGTAGACGTCGTGTTGATGAACACAAGTTGCCTGTGCTACCCATCTCTTGCACAGGTCTGCAGTGTAAGGGTTATTTTAATGCGTAACCTATTTATGATGGGGGTGGGGAAAACAAATTCAATTTCAATTACTAATCTAATTTGCATGACATAAAATTGGACCTTATCTTTTGCAGAGTTCAAAGAAAAAAATGGATAAGAGTTGACATTTACTGCAATTCTGTTCTGTATGTATGTATTTATTGCTAATGAAATATCTGAAGCTGTCTTAAAGGACTATTATTAGGTTCTATGTATGTAACCCTTTTTTCTCTAAGGCTTGGTTTATGGGGCCTCTTTCGATATTAAATCTTTTGCCTAAACAGTATTATTTCCCATCTTTTCTCCCTCTGTCAAAACCCAGAACTGACCTACTCTCTGATTAGCTCTCCTTGAACATTTAATAATAATAATAATAAATAAATTTTCATTTATACCCTGCCCTTCCCGGTTCAGAAAACCGGGCTCAGGGTGGCTAACAAAAAATTTAAAACACTTAATTGATGCAACAAAAAACAGCATAAAATACAGAATAAAACGTGAATAACAATAAATTCAGAATTCAAAAATCAATTTAGGGGGGAAATCCATCCAATAAACATTAGATGATCACCAGGGCTAGCTGGCAAAATTAGTCCTGCTTGGGCCAGCGAGGAGACCAGGGGAGAATTAGCTATGGGATCCCAGAGCAGGTAATCTTCATAAAAAGGGGAGAGGGAGGGAAGGAAGGGGAATAAAAAAACAGGCTAAGTTCAAATTGAAAGCCAGATGGAACAAGCCCTGCAGAAGGAAGTTAAACCCTGCAGGGCCCTGGTCTCATTGGACAGAGCATTCCACCAGGTCAGAGCTATCACTGAGAAGGCCCTAGCCCTAGTGGAGGATAATCTGACTTCCCCTCTTCCTTTTCTAGACCCCTTTAACAGAAAAACTGGGGCTACATTTCTCTCTTCCCCCTCCATCTCTACCAATGAGAAATCCAAGGGCAACAAGGGAGGGAAGGCTTGTGAGAAACTGCATTTAAATAACTCTTGGCCTCCCTTCTGTCCTCCTTCAGCTTCTGATTTTGGACCTCTCTGCCATAGACTCTCCCTGCTCAGTAAGCCCTTTTACCTCTTCAGCTTCCGACACTTCCTCCTCCCAGTCTTCTCCCTCTGACCACTTATCATCATCTCACCACCAACCCCCTGGCTCTGAGCCTTCTTCCCTTGAGGTCCTCTGCATCCAACCAATCTGTGGCAGTTAAGGGCTTGGAAAACAAACCCTATGAAGGCAGGTGGAAAGAGCTGGATGTGCTTAGAAGTTTCCCAGGACAATGTCTCAAGTGAACATAGCTATCATTAGAAATTCACAGTTTTCTGAATTTTGTGATGCAGTTTTCCAACCAAATAATAAATAAGGGGTAAATGCACATTTTAGTGAAAATAATGCGCACAAATGCATGGTATTAAGGGAGATTGCTTGCAGAAATGTGGTAGATTAGGATAAATGCACACCAAAATGCTGTGAAGTTTTGTGAGGACTTTTTAAAGAAAGCAAACTGGAAATGGGAAGAAGTGAATTTAAGGTGGGAAAAACGAGAAACAGAATAATTGAAACTGATAGCTCTCTCTCTCTCTGTAAACAAGGATACATGGTAACAGACTGGTTGGCCACTCTTTCAGCCCCCCCCCCCGCCAGCAACGCTATCATTTTCTACTAGACCCAGAAAATGTGTTTTCCTTTTGTGGGGGTAGACATTCTCATGTTATTGGACAGTGCTTATGATATAACATTGCAGAGTATGGATCTGCTGTGTGGCTGTAATTCAGAGGAGAATAGTAGTTACAGTTTCATAGTAAATAATTAGCAAAAATGGTCAACAGGAGCCAGGCTATGGGCAATTTGGCAGTTAATTAAGGGCTTCTCTGCAGGAAAAAGTCTCTGGCACGGCATACTGGAACCTATTAATTTGTCATCAACTTTCAAACATCATTCAGCCCACGGTCAGTTAGAGAAGATTTCTTTTTAACTCTGGTACATCATCATTAGTCGTTTGATGGGATCATTATTTCCCAATATCTGAATCCACTGATCCTCTGTAACAACTTAAATTGGTGTTCAGAGTTCTGTTGCATGCACCGGGGACAAGGTTCCCACCCCTCCACATTCTCTTTGGGGCATAAAATCATTTTTACCTTGTTAACCTTTGCTTCTCTTAGAATTATATTAACTTTCTTTATTGGAAGTTCCATAGCATAATAGTGCCTACAAATCCTGGGTCTGAAGAGATTATCAGAGGATATTTATGCATAGGCCATGCAAGAGAATTGACCAATAATTCACTTCAATGGAGGGACTGCATTACAGATTACACTTATTGTCACCATGTCTGAGGCCTGTGAGTCTCGGTCCACCTCCTCCACCTCCTTTTTGTAAGCTGTCTTTGAGATATTAGGCGAGGGACAATCAACATGGCACCCTTTAGAGGTGGTTGGACTGTAACTTACAAAATTTCTGACCATTGGCATGCTGGCCAAAGCTGATGGGAGTTGGAATCCAATAGTTAGAAGGCACCATATTGGCTATGGCAGCATCATCCCAGTCCCTGCCTTCATCTGAGACCCCACACACTAAGGAAATAGGCAAATACTCTTAACAGAGAAAAGAGGTCTGGTAGCAAAAGGTCATTAATGAACATAAACAAATAGAGGTTGGATAGAATTTGGTGGTTGAGCAAAATCTTTATTTTTGCCCCAAATGGAAGACACGAGACAATTGATGGGGTTAAAGTCACCACTTTATTAATTATCGATACAATGATCTGTAATAAGGCAAAGTTGACTAATCCAATCTATGAAAACCTCTTCAACTAGGGGATAAAGATGAGAGCTCCACCCTCTTTCTCCCCTGAGGGTTATATCACCCTGGCTCGGAGCACTGAATCAATTTGTTAACCAGAAGGCAAACCAGGAGCACCTGTTTGTTCTACCTCTCTGGAGGATGAAAGAGCCATGAACCGAAGAAGAATCTCTGCCTCATCCCCTCAAGCCATCTGGCAATGAAGGTAGGTCTTCATCACAATGTTGCCTCTTGGTGCTCACCAGCCCTATTTGATTGTTCCCACCTACTGAATTCACCTGCCAGTCAATGCAATCAATCAAATAACTTGGATAACTCTCTTGATTCTCCTTTGTTCTTTTTAGCTTCACGAAACTCTTCAGTTTACTGACCCAGTGGTGAGAGTTCTGAACTTAAGGACATTACTGGCCAGAGAAGTTTTGTTCTCCATGGTCAAGCCCACACTTTCATGTACAGAAGCTGATGGAGCTGAATCTTATTTTGATATTGGTTATGGGGAAGTGTCTCCTTGAAGGCAGGCTAACTTAGAGGGCACAGGATTGCCTAAGACAACACTGCCACTCCCCAACCTTCCCAGAATCTGCTGCCTGAGGCCTCATTATCTAATGGTAGGACCGAACTTAAATTAGGGGGACCCAAAGACCTGTGTAAGTTTTCTCTAGGAAATTTCTCTAGGAAATTTCTAGCTGAATGTTAAGCTTACTTTTCTTTAAAAATTATCTACTTGTGGGCATATATATATATATATATATATATATATATATATATATGCAGTATTTTATCCAATTCTTCAGTAATAGATGGGGAAAAGCACCTCATTTTCAGGTCAATGAGATAACTGGCGATCATTTGACACTAAAGAGCATGAAATTAAATTTTGTTAATGTTTAATGTAATTATATCACTCAAATGTATCATGCTACCTATAGTTTTAGGTTCTGGCTGATCAGCACTTCTTAATTAACTAATTATTTAACAAGCTGCCTCACCACAGAATTTCTCAGTATTGACCAGGATAACTGAATTCATTTTCCCAGTTCCACCAGAAGGTTTGCAGGGTAGCTTGGGACCAATTGCCACCTGTTAGTCTAACCTGCTTCACAGGGTTGCTGTGAGGATGAAACAAGATGATCCCTGTGTTGGTAATGTTCTTAAGTGGGCTCCTCATGTATCTTCTCATAGAATCATAGAACTGTAGAGTTGGAAGGGACCATGAGGGTCATAAAGTCCATCTTTTGCTCAACGTGGGGCTCAGACCCACAACCCTGAGATTAAGAGCCTCATGCTATACCAATTGAGCTGTAGTTGCACCTCTTCTGGTTCACCAAGCACCACAGCACACACCCCAAGAGAACAGGGAAATGGTTGCTTTGATAGACAGGACCAACTCTGGAGCTAGTTTACACGGATCTGAACTGGTAAAGGACTGAAACACACAGGCCTCCATCAGAACCAGTTTCAGTTTTCAGAACGGTTGCAGCAAGTTCCAAGAGGAAGTTCAGAATTGCCAACTTCAGGCTCTGGCATCAGTGCAGATCCCACATGCCCTATAAGGAGAGGAAGGAGATCTATTGGGAGCCAGCCTAAGCTCTTTTTCAGCTGTGAGGCTCTCACTGGGTTGCCCATCTGCTCTTTTCTGGGGTAAAACCAGCCTGTTTTGAATTAAACTCTTGGGCTCAAACGTCATGTCTCATTCCAGTGAAAGTTCTTTCCCCTTCCTGCTGGACTTCCTCATAAATGAGCCTCAGAAACACAATATGCAATTTTGCAAAGCTCAGTCATTAATAACATTCAGACTACTACACACACAGAAAGAGAGGAATAAAGGTTTTGGTATTGCATCGAGAATGTCAATGTGCATGCCCTTTTATGGAGTTCAAGTGGTTAAGACTTCTGTCATTTTTCTTAAGCTGCCTCACTTAGGTACCGCTTCAGGAATAAAATATCCTGCTGTCTGTGGTATTATCTAATCCTTTGTCCTTCTTCTGTTGCAGTGATCAAAGACACCCTGATTCCAGCGATGAGGGTAACTTGATCTCTGCTTTACTTGATGTAAGTCCAGAAAATGCAACTGAAAAGGGGTTGGTCTTCACGATTGAAGTCAATAACTTTTTAATCTATATTGATTTGGAAAGATGTTTTCATCCTTTGTGGAATGGAATTATCATCTGGACAGTTCCTCACCTTAGGATTTTCGGATTTTCTCTTCAGACCAAGAAAAGGGGGGGGGGAGCGGTGGCGGCAGGGAGATAGAGATACAATTTCTTTCCAGCATCTCCTTCAAAGATCTCTCTAAGGATTTGCTTTGAAGATTTAAATGCCGGCTGCATGAATATCTGAATGACAAACAGAATGGAAGCATACATGCCCTGCATTGCGCAAAGTGTTAGGATGAGGTTCTCACGAATTTTCTGTCACTTGCTTCCTAGCATCCTTGACTTACATATCTACTTACATTAGTAATAAACTGCCCTAAAACAAGAAGTTCTCATAATTAAAAACTACACCGACACAGCCTACAGGAAGCTACCTCACGCTGATGGACCCAATTAGTCCATCTAGCTCAATATTGTATACTCTGACTGGCAACAGTTCTCCAGGGGCTTCTGGAGATGCCAGAGATTGAACCTCGAACCTTCTACATGCAAAACTTTTTTTTTTTTTTAATTAGCTACTGATGATTTTAAGCATCTTTTGAATGTTTTTCAATACCCATTCTTAACTGTTTTTATCAAGAACTTTAATGGTCTATTTTATATTTTTGGAAACTGCTTAGAGTTTTTCTTACAGTCAAGATGTACAGTGGTACCTCAGGTTACATACGCTTCGGGTTACATACGCTTCAGGTTACAAACTCCGCTAACCCAGAAATAGTGCTTCAGGTTAAGAACTTTGCTTCAGGATGAGAACAGAAATCGGGCTCCGGCAGCGTGGCAGCAGCAGGAGACCCCATCACCTAAAGTGGTGCTTCAGGTTAAGAACAGTTTCAGGTTAAGAATGGACCTCTGGAACGAATTAAGTACTTAACCCGAGGTACCACTGTATATAAATGCTAAATAAAAGTAAACAAGTAAAATTAATTTTAACTGGCTTGTTCTTTTGAATAACCTTTCTACAGCTGCCTTATGATGATGACTTTTTTATAGTTTTGTATTGAATGTTGTGCTTTTTTCATGCTACGTGTGTGGGCTTGTGTGGGCTATGCTCAAAAAAGGGTGGACTGCAAGTAAATTTATAGTCATGATATAGTACTAGAATCAATGCCCTTTGCATCCACAGGCATCCTGCACACACACTCAGTAAGCGCCAGAGGCTTAGGAGGCAGGAGAAATAAGTCTTAAGCATATCTCTCTGTTGATAATTCAGACATCATTGGCTGGGAGCCCCATACGAGCCTTTGTGGGTCAACTCGACCTCCTGCATATCCTAGGGAAGGGAAAATTAGAATTGCCTCAGAAATTAACACCAGTCCAAACCCTCCACAGATGCAGTCAAGCTGACAGTCCGTGTCCAAGTTGGCCATGGGCTGTTGGAGCAGCAAGGAAGAATTGACCTGCTGCTCATTCTTTCTATTGGGAAGTTGAAGACCTTTTACAAAACTTGCAGTCTTGCAGCACTGTCAGAATGCTGGTTCACTTTTAAAATAAACAAACCACTTTGCTGTCTCCATTGTCCCGTTCCTTCACACCCACTTCTTCAAGATCTGTCCATTTTGGTTTCTTATTCTTCCAGTGTTTCCACATTTCCGTATTGGTTTGTGATTATTATTTTTAAAAAGTACTCACGAAACTTCAACAGCATTTTAATGCAATTTTCTTCTAAGATACACATTTTTGTACCTAATTTTGCCTAACAGACTTACTTCTTGCAAGCAGTTCTCCCTGATATAATGGATTTGTGTTTGTTCTTTCCACTAATATATGCACCTTAATGGACACTTTCCTTCAGCATATGCAGTTTTGTACACATTGTTTGGACGGAGAACATGGCATTTCGAAGTATGGCTACATTTTGGTTCAAGTACATAGGAATCTTCCTTATACTGAGCCAAACCATTGGTCTGTTGAGCTCTACGCATTATCTACACAGTCTTGGCAGCAGCTCACCAGGATTTCAGCCAAGGAATCTTCCCAGCCCTACCTGGAAATGTCGGGAATTGACCTTGAGACCTGCAAGCAAATCAGATGCTCTCCTGCTATTTTTTTCCAGGAAGTGCAAACTAGGCAGCTTTGCCTTCAAAGGTGAACTGAATCAAATACTGTATCTATAATGTGAACTAAGTGTGGGACGTGGGTGGCACTGTGGGTTAAACCACAGAGACTAGGACTTGCAGATCAGAAGGTTGGTGGTTCGAATCCCCGCAACGGGGTGAGCTCCCATTGCTCGGTCCCTGCTCCTGCCAACCTAGCAGTTTGAAAGCATGTCAAAGTACAAGTAGATAAATAGGTACCGCTCCGGCGGGAAGGTAAACAGCATTTCCGTGCGCTGCTCTGGTTTGCCAGCAGCGTCTTAGTCATGCTGGCCACATGACCCGGAAGCTGTCCGCCAGCTCCCTTGGCCAATAAAGCGAGATGAGTGCCGCAACCCCAGAGTCAGACCTAATGGTCAGGGGTCCCTTTACCTTTAATAGAGCAGTAGATAAAGGGAGGGTTCTGCAATGTGTTCTCAGTCATCAAATCAGCAAATGCTTGTTGTTGAATCATTACCGATGGTAAGCAAGTCCTTACGGGAAATTTTTTGTTTTGTTTTGTCTATTCAGCCAATGGGTTGTAACCAATGTGCACCATTAGGGTTCTGCCAGCACAGTGGGACTTCTTCTCTTTTCACCCCACTTCCCCAAAACCAGCTTCCGGAGGTGGGGGGGTCCATCAACCCTCTAGAGCTGATTTTGAGGGTGTTCAGTGGCACTGGGTTGTGGCGGGACAGAAAAAAAGCAGCTCTGTTTTGAACACAGAAGTCCATTACACCAGGGAATCTGCAGCATTGAATATGCTAAGCTAAGGTCACATTCACACTACAGTGGTACCTCGGGTTAAGTACTTAATTCGTTCTGGAGGTCCGTTCTTAACCTGAAACTGTTCTTAACCTGAAGCACCACTTTAGCTAATGGGGCCTCCTGCTGCCGCCGTGCCACCGGAGCACGATTTCTGTTCTCATCCTGAAGCAAAGTTCTTAACCCAAGGTAATATTTCTGGTTTAGCGGAGTCTGTAACCTGAAGTGTATGTAACCCGAGGTACCACTGTATATGTTTAAAGCATTGTGATACCACTTTAAAGAGTTTCCACCCAAAGAATCCTGGGAGCTGTATTTGATAAGGGTGCTGAGAGTTGTTAGGAGGTTCCTATTCCCCTCAGAGAGCCACAATTCCCCGAGTGCTTTAACAAGTAAATTCCTTTTCTCAGGGATATCTGGGTATTGTAGCTCTGGGTAGGGGAACAGGGTGCTCTCAGCACCCTTAGCAACTACAGTTCCCAGGGTTCGTTGAGGGATGCCATGACTGCTTGAAGTGGTATCATGACGATTTAAATGTATTGTGTGAATGTGGCCTAAATCATACTCAAAGTAGCTCCATTGAAATCGATGGGCCAAGTTAAATCACTCCCATTGATTTCAGTAGGTCTGCTCTGAACATGACTTGCACAAACATCCATGCTATGCAATTAGGCATTTGTGGATTGTTTGCCGGAACCATCTCTCCCTTCTTTCCCTGCACATAGTGGCAATTTATTGTGAAATGTGTAATTATCTGCTGGAGCAGGGCCCATTTTTAATGCCTTGCGATAAACAAAAGTATGAACAAAGGGCTAATGCAGAAAAAGTCCTCCTTCTTTGCAGTTGCCTGCGGACACAGTTGGTTTCAGATTCCGATTATCTCCAGGCATCTAGCACAGGGCGACTTTTGTGCATTCAAATTGCAGTCAGGACAAGCACTGGCTTGATGGGGTTGTTGATTCTCCAGTAAATATAACAAAGGGTTCTGTTTGGTTGGGAGCAGGCTGGCTGCCAGAAAGATATTTGGAAAGTAAAGTCTCTATTTGAAGCGTGATGGGTAGCCCTTTGAAAACCGTGTGAAAGGCTGTAACACTGAATTTTAATTTCAAAAGGCTGGTATTAGGAGAGATAATAACAATCTAGCTTGCACAACTGGAGAGCTTGCACACACTGAAACAAAAACTCGCACAGGTTGTGTGCCTCAGACCGTGGAAGTGATGCATTCCTTGTCAGTATCAACAGAGGTTTCATGAGAGAGTTTTTAATTATAACGCAGAGAAACACAGCAAAGGCACGGTGCATCGCTGTTGCTTTTTCT